CCGTAAAATCTCTACCAAAAGTTTAAGACACGTAATAAAAAGCTGTGTCGGATATTTGAAGCAATGAACTTTTGGAAGAACTGATAATTACAGAGGAGTAAAGATTATAAAATTGATCGACCTAGTCATTTTTTATATATCTCCGAGTGATAAAACAATTTATACTAGATATGAATTTCTATGCGGCACGTCTAGAGCAAAAGGTTATTATATTAACCAAATGTCTGGTTTGATTCCCTCCCTTAAAACGTGTTCAACAAAAAACGTTATATTTGCATAAATATTCGCAGTCTACGGATGAAATATGCTAAAACGTGCTAGACGATTTGGCGTGAACGCTGCAATAAATCCCCCGGGCACAAAGTACTGTGCGCGCGTACATACCTAGTACGTACATCGTAACGTTCAAATGAAGCGGCATAAATTCCGCCGGTAGCAGAGGCGGGACAGATACTCGGGTATAAAGGTTAATTAATAAATAACCGTGTCATAATGGTGATGGGCAGGTACGCGTTGCTCCGTAAACGAGCCGCGACGGCAAACCGCTAAACGCATTACGGTCGGTGATACGCTCTCGACCCTGCATAGGCTATACGTTTTTCTCGTCTACGTGTACATGAGCGTGCACTGATTTCCGTACGCCTACAAACAAATTGTGAGACGTCTGTTTAAATTTAATTGAGATTTAGTTCATTTTAACTGCATGTAATTGTCGATGCGTGAGAGAAACATCGTTTCAAAATTGGACATACAAATAAAATTCGACAGGCTGTAAGTAAATTACTGAGACGGCTATTACATCTGCCTCTGGTAATTACAGAGACATTGGCTCGCGGATATTTCTCTTTATTTTATCCATTAGCGGTGCGAAATATCGGCGCATGGCAAAGTATGCGGAAGGGAAGAGGCTTCTTTCGATTTCGATAGAAACCGGGCGCGCGTTTATGCGATATCACGCCACGCGTCAAGCTTTGGACTCGTGAACCACGGTGAACGTGCACGTGCACACCTTGAAAGCAGCTAAGCGAAAGGTATCTCTCTCTTTCTCCTCGTCTCTCTTTCTCTGGTCTATAACACATCTGGACGACCCTCAAGCCCCGCTCCGACCCGGAGGCAGGGTCGAGAGGTCTTTGCCCAAGCGGAACCGTATCAAAAGTGGCATAGCTACGCGTCCGTATCCGGGAAACCGTGGAAAGGGGAGCAAGGATTTGATCTCCGCAAGAACGAATGACGTTCCGGATTGAAGACGTACGCGAGATACCTCTCTCTTTCGCGGGCTGTCTCTATTATTCCGGAATTTCAGTTTGCCCGGCTTCGTATTAAATTGTCTGTCTGTTGTTCTTCCTATCGGATGAAAAGTACAAATGGAACCTGCTAGCGTTTTTCGCGTTCCACGAAACCAACGTAACTAATATTCATCTATTTTTAACAGTCAAATTCTAGTTACCTAAGATTTTTGAACGAGACGAATTAATATAAAATAAAACAGAATTCTATATTCTGTTATGGCTGTTGGTATCAAAGTGAATGGTAAAAATTAAGAATCTCGTACAAATTGGATTAATCTGTAACAGCAATAATTGAGATTTGCATGAAATCTCTTTCCTCGTTTCGAGTAACTCAGGAATGCTGTTTTTCAATCTGAACATGTCTCCGCGGAGAGCGAATCACGGTGGAAGAAACCGTAGAAGCACGAAAGGGCCGGTTGCCGCTCGAAAACGCGGAAGAGATAATGAGGAGGAACGTCTCCATTAAAACCTGGAAATACCCTCTGGACAGGGATAAGGTCCCCGCTCGAAGGACTGCTACGTGGTGGCTGCGAATAATCGAGGGAAGCCACCAGAACGTTATTGCGCAACGATATGTGCGTGCGGGCCTGAAGTGGGTCGTCTTGCCGGTTCGTTTAGAAGATCTCCGTGTTGCGAACGGAACGGGACGGGACGGGACGGAACCCGCGGTTTCTAAAGATCCCTTCGGTGTAGATCGCATTAACATTCCATGGGAACGGTATTTCCTCGGCGCAATCGGCTGATTAGGCGTCCGCGGTTCTGACTAGCTTCGCGTTTCAGCTTCCACCGCGTGATTGCCTCGATTTTCAAGCGCCGGACCCGCTACCGCACCGGTGCTGCGCTACGTTTTGCTGCGCGAGCGAAATCCTGCCCACTGTAATTTCAACCGTGCGGATCGAAAGGCTTCGTTTCCCGTTTCCAGGTACACGTACATACCGGTCGTTTAGCGTCCTCTTACAATATTTTATACATTTACGTCTACTGCGTAATCCAGAACTCCATGAAAAATTCTCTAGATATTTCTTCTTCATATGAACAGAAACCGTGTCGATTAAAAGAAGTGAGCTCGTAAATAAGAAACGCCAATTGTTCCGTTTATTGACAGGCTGTCACCAAAGAGAATAAATGGCAGTCGGAAACACAAATTACAAAAAGGAATACTAGCAATTATCACATTCACATCGCTATTCATCACTGGCCGGGCTGAAGGGAGCATAACGAAGTGAATGAATCGGTTTAACTCTTCAATCTCAAGGCGAGATCCGCAGTAAGCTTCCGGATCGGGCAACCAGAAAACATATATAGCCCGTGTACCGAGTGTACAAATAACGCAGCGAACCGTGGAACTCGCGGAGGCAGATTCAATGCGGTTCTCCGGTCTCGAATCATCGGCGATTTGTTACGAGCAAATGGCGAAGATCGAATGAATTCCGGTCGGCGCTGGCGCAGTTCGTTCTCGAGTATTCGAGCCGCGACAAAAGACAGAAGGGGTTGGAGAAAGAAAACCAGGAAAAAGAGCGTCTGCAGAGGAGAAAGCGGTGGAATGAGAAAGGGTAGCGCTGAAAGAGAGGAGGCTGTTGCGCACGGCTTCAGACCGGTCGAAAGCAATCGATCAAAAGCGAATCGGTCGGTTCTGTGGCGATCGGTGGCTGCGCGCGCGGGCGAGTCTCGACTTTAAGCCACGGCAAAGCAGCTCGGGAGAGATAGGTTATTACTGTCGGCGCGCGGCGTATCGGCGTTCCTTGTTACCGGGTAATGAGTTTATTGTTTAAGAATCACGCCGCAGTTACATGTGCCGCAATCAATTACAATAATGTAATATAATCGTAGCAAGGTCCCGCGGCGGTATAATGAGGTCCCTTCTCTAATGAGAGGATTGCTGGCTGATCGAGTTCA